GAAAGCCAGTTTCTCCTCCACACCATCTTCAAAAGTGACACTGCTTTGCAGAAGTTATTTAAAATACTTGGCAAGCATTTAATAGGTTTTGAAAATGCTATATAAATATTTTAGCAACTTCAAAGTTAAAATTTTACAATTTTAAGTTACAGAAGGATTTATGCTCATTGTTTGAAATATATAAGTGATTCAGACGTGTACATTGAAGAGTGAAAGCCCTATCTTTCATTTCTTGTTCAATTCTTCAATCCTTCTATTGTTAAGTGAACTTTCTCTATAAACGAAGAAACATACTTAAATGCACATATGAAAATATTGCTTTTGTCAATAAAAATTGGATTCTATACATATTTTTCTATAATTGGGTTTTTAAGTTATTTCTCTTGAGTATTATTTCATAATATAAAGATTTTCAGAACTCGTGACTGTAACTGCTTAGTTTTCTGTACCTTGATGTTATAATTCCCTTATTGATGTTCTTATAATTTGTCTCCACCTTTTTTCTGTAAATTAATGATTATATGAGCATCCGTGTGTATGTATATGTGTTTGTGTGGGTGGGTTTGGGTGTGTGTGCGCATACAAGCACGGACATGTGTGCAATCTGTTTATCCTCATGCTCTTTTGCAGTTATTTCTCTAAGCTAGACTTTTAGAAGTACTTTTTTGTTGTTGTTAAAGAGTGTGGGCGTTTAAATTTTTGTTAGACATTACCAATTCCCCTCAAGATAGTATATCTATTTAAACTTTCATGCATAGATAATAATAGTCCTCTCTTCCCCGTACCTATATTAGCAATGACTATTATTTATGCTCTTAATTTTTGACCAATATGATAATATTTATCAATGATTTGCTAATTTCTCTAATTAACCAAACTAATGTTTATTTATCTGAAGGGTTAGAATCGAGTGAGATCTTCTGAAAATGGGTACTTAGAGTTATCAGAAGTTAGTGTGCTTTAAAGTTTTTCTTTTTTCTTAAAGAAAATAGTACTGTACCAAAATAAATTGAACTTCAGAGTTGTTCTTAAAAACATATTGGAATATTGACATATAGGAAATTCTGATGAGATTTTGGATTAAGGGCTTCTGCTTTTGAGAGAAACACAAATATTGATGTTTATTTGGAGCAAAGGTGATTGCTATTAGCACACACCTAGGTTAAAATTAATTCTCATTTGGACTTCTGGCTCAGCATTTCTTGTCCTCCAACCTCCCTTCCCAAAGTCCTTCTAACATATCCTTCAGTTCACTTCTCCCCAAATACTTTAAAGGTTTCCTGTTGCCTCTAAGAGATTAAAAATAATTTTATAATTTATGAGTCTGTTTAAAAATCCAGTTTCTCAATTCTCATCCCTGAGGAGTCTGCTTCACAGTGTCTGGAGTGGGCAAGATCATCTGAGTTTTCAATGGGAATGCCAGGTGCTGCTCCAGACTACATCTTGAGAAAGACTGGGGTGGGGGAACAGTTTTTGTACATACTAGTAAAGACCCCTCATAATCAACTTTTCTACCTTTTTAACCTTGCACATATTTCTCTATCCTCTAGCCAAATGGAATGATGTGCTCTCTCTCATACTGGATCCTAGATTCTTCTATCTCTGTATTTTCCCCCTGGAAAACCACTTCTCTCCTCTTCACTTCTATCTGTACCTTATCCCTCATGTCCTAAATCAAATCTCACCTCTTCAATGAAGACTTTCATTTCTTCGTCCACTCCTACAGCATTTATCCACATCAAACATTTACACTTAGGGTTTAGTATTGTTCCTTGTGGTTCACATGTAATTCTCTGTATCCCTCAGAGTGCCTTACACATAATCAACACTGTAAAAAATGTGTTGGTTGAGTGAGTGAGTGATAATGTAATTAGAGTACTAGGGAGCAGGTCAAAGACTGCACTTCAACCCCACGAAGCCACTTCATGATGTTTTGCAACTTGTTCTACTCCTGAGAGACTCTGTTGCTCTCACTTCAAATCGAATTGCTTGCTTTAGTGAATAAAACAAAAGCTCATGCTTACCATATATTTGGGTCTCTTAATTGCATAGTTAAACCACCCTACTTGCAGTACTTGAGAAAGTTAATCCATACCAGAGATAAAGTTTTTAAAATTTATTTGAATTCCAATGTTATAACTCCATACAATTTTTCCTCAGTATATCTATGTTGCTAAAGGCCCACCTTGCTTAGCTTCTTAAAAGACAATTGTTTTTATGTTCAGAATAATTGCTTATCAGTAACTACAACATAACCCGGTGGTCAGATCATTAGAATAAATGTAACATTTGTCACAGGCACAGAACTTCAAGTGCATTTGATTCCTGTGCTGTATTCTTGCTATATAGAACCAAATTATATAATTTAGTATAGCTATGAGTATAAGCTGGCATGGTGTTCATGAAAATTGGGATGTCCTTCATGCTACTAAAAATGATATTTCTTGAGAATGAAAAATGGAACTCACAAAATAACATTTACTAGTGTTATTCAAGATTGTCTCAAGAAAAGCATTCATTAGGAAAATAAGTTCGATCATAAGGTAGGCATCTCTCTAATATTAAAATTAGCACGATCTATTCTTTTTTCTCAATTTTGAAAAGCAAGCACTTGGTAAGTCACCTTGGGAAAATGATGGCAATTTATTAATTTGTCATTTTCCTGGACTGAAAACATTGTGACAAACAAAAAAGACATCCGTTGGACATATATTCCTTTCTCTTAAAACTAGCAATTTAGTACATTAGTGGAACGTCTTTGGCCAGGCTAGTCTCCTGTAGGTTTGACTGTGAAGGAGCAGGTGTGTGCTTCCAAAGTGTCTTTACAAGTGTCTCAGTGGGCTTCTCTCCCACGCCTCCGCAGGAGACAGCTCATCTGTTTAATCCTCATGTTTTAGTCAACCTTTCTTATTATGCAGACGGGGTTCTGAGGCTCAGCTGGATTTTGACTCTCAGAATGAATTGATGGGGCTCTTTGATCTTAACTGTGTTTCATCTTTCCTCTTAATGCATAGTCTTCCCAACTCCCATTCTAGCTGGTGCTCTTAAAATAAACGGATAATTATACAAACAAATAAAAATTGCTATTTAAAACTCAGGTACAAACTTTTCATTTTGGCCTTTTTTTGTCGTAGTAAACTTTCTTGAAAAAATCCCCAAAGCAATTTAAATATGTTACTATGTAAAGGACCACCAGACTAACAGCATTAAACTATTTGCTATGAGTGTGTTTGTGCTTTGTAGGGTCAGATTTGCATAGAAAATAAGACTGACCAATCTTTGCGATTTAGTAAATTGTACAGTAGCTTAATATCTTATTAATAGACGATAGTGGAGCAAAAAGCATACAACCTACTTAGAAAAATTTAACATAGAACTATTGATATCCTGCAGGACAATATTCCTCTTTTAGGTGGGAGTGAGGGAGACTGAATTGCTGAGAAAATTAGTTAGAATCAGAACTAATCCGTATGGAGAAATCATTCTAGGTCATAAAATGCTAGAATAACATCATTCCTTTTAAACAGATCTTTAACATGAAATGTGTAGGTTTTTATGTGAGGTAGGAGTGGAGAGATGTTTAGGGAACAGTGTGAATTGTTTGCGTACCCACATTAAAGCATATAAAGTTTTGATTAATTCAACTGGAAAATATCAAGTTTTTATCTGAGTAACCTTTACTAGTCTAATCTGGTGTTTTGGAGACGTGTTAATTCTTTTTATTTTTAATTCCCTACAAATCCTGGTTTGTCTTGAAGTGTACCATGATCTTGTGATGATGATGTCATGTCAGAACTGTCAGAATAATTTCAGCTAAGCAAAAAATGTGTTTCCTAAGAGCCAGAGGCTCTTGAGAGAGTTATGATGTATTGTGATATGACCCTTCGAGAGGAGACATATTGTGATATGACCCTCTGGTCTATTAAATGTATCTTTATACCAACATATATACACTAAATATGCTAATAACTATTAGTGAATTATGAGAATAAACATTTTTCTTAGAGACATTTAGAGATAAAATATGTAAGGAATTTGATCCCTAATCATAACTCTAAAATATTGCTGTTGTTAAATATTCAACTTTCTTTCTTTCACTCAAAAGTATCTCTTAGGCCCCCGCATGGTAACTTACTCTGAACTAAGGAGATTTTCTTCACTATTTTTGTACTTCCCATATGGAATCTGAGAACAACTGTGCAGGAAGGAAATATAAAAGGTTATCCAATCCTTCTTCAGGCAGAACTACTCTGAGACCCACTAAAGATAGCGTTACTCCCCTCCAACAAATTTGTCTATCTTGCTACCAATTGGGACGTACTTTCTATTTGTTTGTTTGTTAATGTTGCAATTGGAAAGAAAAGCTCTAACAACCAGTCAAGGTGTATGGCTTTAGTGCACTTCATTTAGGTTCTCTGACTTTATTTGCTTTAATATTTTATCCAACACATCTGATTGCTGTGTCACTACTATAAAATTGAAACAAAAATGCCTACACTCAGTTTATAATCATTCTGTGCTGCTTGAACCTCTGAAAGGTAAAGTTTTGCCTTGTCTTCATGATATGTATCAACACAGACCCAATCTCATTTTATTTTATGCCTTTTTCTGTGATTTATAAGTCCTTCAAAGTTCTAGTTTACATTGGAATAATGTCCATCTGGTTCAGTGCTATAACTAATTCCCAGGTTAATGCAACTTATCATATTAGAATTTATTTAAGAGATGCTAAATTGTTATATGTAATTATTGTTAAATTGCTTGCTTAGTAACTCCTAATAGTAATGGGGTAATTCACTTGAACTCCATTATTCTACCTAAATGCGAAAGATGATTTTCTTGCATTATCCTCAAAAGGAGGGAGGGGAGGAAACATTTATATTGTGTGTCTTGGCAGAGTGATGGTTCATAGCTGTAAACTCATTGTGGTCTCTGATCATGCCTTTTGATCTGTGACTGTCAAGATGTGGCCTCAATCCGTGAACATCTCTTCTACCCAGAAACTTCCAGAGGACCAGCCTCAGCTCCCCAAAGTGGCCCAAGGCGATGTTACTTTCAAACACAGAAGTCTGAATAACCCATCAATGGATGATGAAATCAACATACTAGATCATAAGTTGATTAAAAGAAAAAAATTAAGAGAAAGAATATCAAAGTGTATTGCCCATAGTAAGAGTAAGTATTGTTTTGTGAACACATTTTTTTTTCAAAAATGTTTTGAGTGCATGTGTGGTGTTTGGTGGTGGTTGTAAATATTTTCTTACCATGAATCCCTATAAGTAAATAAATAAAGACCGAAAAATAAAACCCAATCAAAACTGTGTTGACCACATAGCCTCTAGTAAACTTTTGCCTAGATGCTGGGTTTTAGAATTTAGAGTATTATTTTACTATATTCTGATTCTATTTTTTTTTTTTACCAGTTATCCTCCAGCAAATCAAAGGAATTAGTTTATAGCAGTAGAAATAATAATGGAAGCTTAGCAAATGTTTCCAGAATTGCTAAGAGTTAGGACATCAGCTTATTGAGGGTATAGTATTCTTACTGATTAGCTTTAAGTAGTTGTTTTAGAAACATACTGTTTAGTTACAGAAGAGAAAGTGTACAGATCACAGAAAAAGGATTTTGTTAATACCTTTTTTTGTTGTTGGGCTAAAATGAATGACTATAAAGTATGACTGTATACTTGTGTTATAACAAGAAAGGAAATAACACTTATCAGTTGTTGCGAGCAAGAAAAGTGACGGCTGAAGTAACACCCTAGGGCGCGTTTGTGTCTTTCCACGATGCCAGGTTTATCGAGTGGAACCTTCTCAGATAAACCGATTAGGTACCCACGCAGGGCAATGCACAGCATGCAGAGAGGGGCAGTACAGAGTTTTACGTGACAGAGTGAAGGGATGAAAGCCTTTAGCATTGCCAAAGTGAGCTCTGTGGACTGGTGGCATGGAGAGTGACACATCAGTCCCAAGCCAATAGCTGCAATGGGTCAGAAGGTCAGAATCTTCTGCTCTAGCACACCCGTCTGCTATGCTGTCTGTCAGGTCAGGCTTGAGCCTGTCTGTCTGACACGTCTGTCGGAGGTGTTCAGTTTATATGGACTTTATAAGGTGAGATCCTCGTGCTTATTGGCCCCCACAGATGAGGGCTGATGTTTCTGTGGTTTGGGGCAATCTGGTCACACCCTAAGGGCATTCTCATTATGTGCCTGTTGCCATCACTGTCATAGCTCCCACAGAATCCATTTGTGAAGTCCCAAAAGTCCTCATTTCTTTATACTCTATATACGTTAGTCTTCTAAAATATCTCAAGGCTAAAATCTTTGCCTTTTCACTTAAAAAGCCTTCTTAAATGTGACCCTTCTGTTATGAATGATATAATTGGGATTTCTTTTTTTCCCTTGCCTGTGTATCCACCAGGACTTAACATAGAGAGCAAATTATAGTTGTGCTTTCATTGTGCACTATCATTGTATTTCAGGACTGAGAAAAGTAAGTGCTGTTCAGCAAGGTAAGCATGAGAGAGAGAAGAAAAAAATAATTTAGTTGCTCACGTCAGTATGTAGTTCCATAGTCAATGGGTTCATTAATGAACATGTCATTCTTACTCTCTGTAAAGTTCGAGGTGGTGTGTAACCTCGGTATGTCGCTACCAGCAGCAGCAGCCTCACTTCAGAGCCTGTTAGAAATGTGGAAGATCATGTGCCCCACCCCAGATGTATTGAATCAAAATCTCCATTTGTGACACCATGACCACCCAAGTGATTTACATAATCATGAAAGTTTGAGGAGCACTGATATATAGGATTAGTATTGCCAGTTATGTGGACTTGTATTCATTTCATGGATTACACTTGCTCTGGGAAAGAAAAATTAGTGAGTGGAAAGAACCAGCAACTTTTCACACCTGAGAGCAGCGATTAACATCTAAAATAGTGGTTAAAATTAACCATAATGACAATGACATTGCTGCTGATGGGAGCACCCGTTATCAGGTGCTTCCAAGTGTTGACCATTATGTCTAGTACAGTAACTAACCTGTATCCATCATCCTCCCCTGTGAGGTCAGTGCTGTTTTATGGACAAGACAATAGAAGCCACAGGTTGCCTAAGATCGTCCTGTTGTAAAGCCAAGCATTCTGATGTGTAATATCTATGATCGGTCATTGTACCTTCTAAAAGTAAGAAAGACAATTTGTTTCAAATAGAGAAGAAATGTGACACTTGAAAGATTCCTATGAAGCTGTCCACTGAAATTTGTTTAGTTAACATTTGGGACTAGCAATGAGTTCTCAAAGTTGCATATTTGAAAAGACAAAAAACGATCTTAAATTTTAAGCCCGCATCAAACTTTATTATCAGTCTACAGTTTATTATATATGAGGAGTGTGTGCTTATGTTGTATCTTGTGCCCCATTAGAAGCCCTTGGCTTTAGACATTATGTTGTCAGCTGGGGAACTTAGCCTTGAGGACGAACATTTGTACATTTGAAACATGAAGAGAGGACTCCTTACTTGAAATGACTCTAAAATTGTACAGAATGTAGGAATACAGTTTGTCTCTTGTGCTGAATTAATTTATTTTCTAAGGAACACATGCTTTGAGAAAGGAGATGCTGTAGCAATATCAACATTTTGGCATTTACTGGGTGAGGAAAATCAACTCATGCAACTAACGCAATTGAAAATAGCATTGAAATGAGAGTTGGAAGCAAAAGGAAGCAAGGTCATGTTTGGTGCAGAAAAACAGCACTGCGTGTCATGTGGATTAACTGGGCTGACATAAGCTGGTGAATCGTGTCCACTAGCATAGGAAAGTGGAGGGCATCCAGGCCTTTTTATAAAGAAACTGAAATAGACTGCATATTCAAGTAAGGATAGCGAAATTTTTTAAGTTGTTAAGTTTGTTAATGTTCTTAAAAGATTTTTTATGTATTTATAAATATACATACAGTCACATCAAGTCATACAATAGCAAAGAATATACTGTGAAGAATAGTTCTCCCTCCGCTCCTGCCTCTTAAGCCCCAGTTTTCCTGTTAAACCATTGTTAGCAGTTTTTTTTTTTTTGAGTATTTTTCAGAGATCTTCTCTAAATATACAAACATTATGTACAAATTTTTTATTAACTAAACTGATAACACACATCATTCTGCACTATTCTTCCTTCCTTAAAATGTATCATAGAAATAATTTCCTATCAGTCCATTCATTTTATGGCTGCCGGCATTCCACAGTATAGATATAAAATACCCTATTTAACCAGTTACTTTTGGTAACTTTTTAGATCATTCTTGGTCTTTTGCTATTACAAATAGTACTACAATGAGGATCCTTGTTCATCTATTGTCAAACATATTCTCAGGTTTTCACAAAGTCCTGATTTATTGTTGCTATACAATAGTTAAGCAATGGAAAAGAAATAATCAACTAGTATAGTAGGAAGAGTAATACTAATAATTGTAAACATTATTTACTATGCAGTCAGTACTTAATAGTAGTTGTTTAATTCTTTTAACTCTGTGAGGAAGTTACTATTACTGTTATTGTTGTTGTTAATTATTTAAGTAAGAAAGCCAGGGTCTGAATCGACCCAAAAAGCTTGCTTCTGGATCCCTAGCTCCTAATTGCTGGGCTGGGCTGGGCTACTTCCCAGTGATTCCATTGCTATTTCGGCAATGACAGAGCATTTATTGGATACCTACTATGTGCTAAGAAGCTGACATGTATTATTTAATCGTTACAATACTAAAGGTAGTGTTGTTGTTTTTTTTTAACCGAGTCTTAACAAGGTTTAATAACTTGCCTAAAGTTCCAGAGATAGTAAGTAAGAAGCCAGGAATGGCATAGAAGTAGTAGGTCTCATTCCAGAGACCGGCATAACAGAGATGGGAATTTAGGCATTTGAATTTATATCCAGCAGGCCGGAAGGCGGAAATGAAATGAATATACGTATGAGACTTAATTAAACATATTCAAGTGATGAAAGGATTAAGAAGGCCTGTCGCAAGGGCCAGAGGAAGACCATTGGTCGCACATCGATAAAGGCATCTGTAGCGGAGTATGGCTTAGTGGTCTGCTGGATCCACAGTGGATACTTCAGCGTGGTTCTCCATGGACAGTGTTTCCAAGTCTAGATGGCTTTGTTCTTACTGACTGCTTCCATCCTTAAAAAATTCCACACCTATGCATTGTATTTATATAGTAAACAACTCATTGTGATGTGTGGCACTGGCATGCTGTGCCCTAGAAAAAGAGCAGCCTTAGGTGATTCTGCTCTGAGATGGAATTTGTGCCTGCAAGGAGCAGAACCCAGCTGGTGCCCACTTTGGAAAATAAAAGGAAGAGCACTGAGATTCCTCAAGGTGTCGGTTCCTCCAGGTCAGTTTCTCCATTCTCATCTTCAGTTTTTCCAGCAGTCCTGCTTCTTTATAAGCTGCCATACAGGAGTGAAAATTAGAGCTCTCTTTATAAGACCTATTAGTTTTGGAACATCATAAAGGATTGTCAGTCTTTTGCAAAGTGTAATTTGTAACTGAAGTCGTGTCTATCTATTTATTGTTGTTGTTGTTGTTGTTTTATAAATCAGTTTTATTATCTAGGCTATGTTTCTGTGCCTGGTCTCTTGTGTTTAAAATACTGAGTTTTCTTTGTTTCAGGTTGGCTCGTTTAATTCAGTGACTTTCGGGTAATGTTTCATAGAAAATGTAAAAGATGTAGTTAGTATCGATGGACATTATCATTATAGTAAAAATAATAACTAAAATTATAGTAAAAATAATAACTAAAATACATAATGAGCATTTACTACAGGTCAGGAAATATGCAAAAGGTTTTATAAGCATTATCTGGTTTAATACCAAAACCCTCTTAAGAAGATATTATTATTGTTCCCATTTTACAGATGGTGGTCTTTTATTCCTAAGTTTTTAAACTTAATTATTATAATGGTGTTAAGGCACGCTTTTGTAAAAGACTAAAATACCTTCTAATCCCACAGAACTTATTTTCTACTTTGACATTTCTCCAAATTTTTGTCCAAATGTACTCAGTAATCAACATATGTACAATTCTGTATTCTACTTTTTCATTCACTATAGTCATAAGAAGTTGGTTTTCTCAGTCATCCTCATTATCACATGATGACTACATACGAGTAATTGCTATAATTTATTTAATAATTTCCCTTACTAGAGACATTAGATGATTTCCATTTTCTTTTATAGATGCTACTGCAATGAAAAATTTTGTGTAAGTAGTATATTTTATTCTCTTTGAATTTCCTAGGAAAAGTCTTTATTTCAGTCAAAGAGTAAAAAGCTTTTAACTCATTCTAATTTTTAAGTTAGAATTATTTTCATAAGAGCAAATAGTGAGCATTACTGAAACACTTATTTTGTAATCATACATGTCTATCTTTAATTCTTTTTATATATAGGTATGAACTGTTTTTCAGTATTTTAAAAGGTAATTTAAATACCTATATTAGAATTAATATGTAAAAATCAGCATAGGCCTAAAGAGTGATTTTTTTGCAATATTTAATTTTAAAAGTATGTGAAATATGCTTTAAGGAGGACAGTGCATACAACGAAAGTATCGTTCTTCATCAACATGTGTTTCTTGAGAAACTACTATGTGCCAGGCCCCATGGTTGTCACCAAATTCATGATGTTGAATGTGACCGGCACAGCTCATTTACATCTAAGTCACATCTCAGAGTTTTGTCCTTGACATTGTGCCACAACACACTCTCGTCCTCAAACATTTCTAACATTTCTTCTTTTGCTTTTATGGAATCTGTTTCATTTCTTAATATCAGCCCAAGATATAAAGGATAAAGAAAGTCTTCCTTTCAGGGAGATAAATAGAATAGATAGATAGATAGATAGATAGATAGATAGATAGATAGATAGATAGATAGATAGATATAAAAAAAATATATAAACCATATTTTTTTCCTCCTATCTCTGTGCTGGTGGGATTTAAAAAACCTTTTTATCTTCCTAGGTTGAAAGTATTTTGCTCTGTAGTTTTGAGAATCCTTAAATCGTCTTAACCTTTTTGCATATATCTTCTATTGCATCTAAACACATTTATCTTTTCAGTACTTTAGGCTAAATAAACCAATGCAGGGACTTTGGACCCTCCATTACAGGAACATCCTCATGTGAAAATAAAGTGTAAATTTACGGTACATACCATGATTTATTATATACATTGCACTATAACTATAATTTTCACAGGTAGAAATAATCGTTTTGGTCCCTTTAAGGAGCCAATATATAGAATTCCTATGTAAAATGCACTTCAAAATTGCATTTTAACTTTTCACTAAACTCTTCCACCCCAGAAAGACCTACCCATTTGTTGTTGAATGTAACTTTATTATCATATGGTATATTACTCTTTTTTAAACTCTGCAGTACACAATTTTTACTTCACCGAGGTTTAAACATTTCAATGGGGAAAAATATCATTTAGTAAATATTACATTTAGTGTCTTTCTATGCAAATCAAGCTTTTCTGAATGTTTCACTATCAGAAATATTGTTACATCATTTCATTATTATGTACGTTACCTAATATGCATTTACATTTCAGTAAATTCATTATATGTATGTGCGTGTATATCTACCTATTGATCAATCAATAGATACACACTTCTGTATGTTTTCAGTGGACTGATTTATTGAAGGGAAAATTTGTATTAGAATGTAAAGATAGATGTCTGTCTCTCAATCTAAAGTTATATAAATGATTCTTAGCTGAGATACCCTAAATAATTTCCCATATTATTCTGTATAAATTTAATTTGAACTTTTATGTGAGAATACATTGCAGAAATTGGAATTTATAGACTACTGTTTTTGACGAAAAAGGGACAGGTGGAGACAACTTGATAATTTCAGAATGCCACTTCCATGGGTTGACTTAAGGCTACTTAGCCGTGGAGCTGGCTCCTCTAGTTAACAGCCTGCCTATAGACATTGCCAAGGTAGCACAGAGGAGGAAAAGAAAATAAAAAGTCATCTAAAAAAGAAACTCTAATAGATTTTTAAAATTTTTTCTATAATTTTAAATTTCTAATATCTATATCCTTAACCCTGGGATTGAAGTCCTCAGTACAACTTTGCACCTATCCTACTGTTTGAACTCAAACTCTAGGAACTACATGTCTGAGAGCTGAATGTATTCTTGGTCCCAAATCAATCTTGTCACCGCTCGGAAAGCAATGCAAGATAATAAGTAGTATTCACCTGATTGCTTTCCGGCTCTGAGACAGCTGGTGACGCGTGTCTTCCTGATAACCAGGAGTTTCAGATCTAAGGCAGGGATAAAGGGAAGCTGGGAGCTCGAAGAATCTAAATTTGACAGTCGATGGCTGAGGAGAGGGTCAGAAGGGATAGAATCTGTGACACGTATGAGGAAGGAACAAAATTTATCTGCTCTGGTTGCAATGATTAGATGTCTCTTTGTCTGGCTTTCTTACAGTGGTTGACTGATTGTACCCGCCAGCTGGCTAATATCATAATTAACAAAGTTGCTACTACGTTTGTAAAGTTTAATCGAAAAATTTGCCAATGATATGATGGCATTGTCACAGAGATCACAAGGGACACGTTGTCGACTTTTGCTCAAGGTGGACCGGCAAAGCAGTATAGGCAAGATGAGAAATTCTAAACTTGTTCAGCCAAAGGTATGTTTCTTTCATAATTCCACATCTTGGGCTTTCTGATTAAGATTTTTGTTTGATGATTGGTGGGTTCTCTTTTGTTTCATGACCAAAATGATTCATAGATAGATCCATATTCTTTTTCAGCATTTACAGCAGCATATTCTCTGAATGCTTTGGTTTTTTCCCAAATCTAGAAATTCAGAAATATAATGAAATAGCTTTTGATACTGAGAGTGGAATATAATGTTTTGCCTGTTATTGTGTCTAGCTAATTTTGATCAGGTTTCAGAATAACTATTTGGTAACAAATGTCAGTTGAACATTTATGTTGAATAGCGTTAGATTTATTTTGCTCAACGATATAAAAGCCATTGCTCTGCTTTATTCTATTGTGTCAATCTAGTTACAGGAGAAAAAAAAAAAAAAGCAAGCATAGTTGTAGAAGATACACAGGTTCTATTCGAGTTTCTGGAAATGCTCAAAGTCGGGGAAAGGAGGGCTGAAGTCCTGATTTTAATTAAACAAAGTAATTGGGGCTTTTTACAACATTTAGAGAGACCAGTATTTCTTGAAATTATGTGCTACTCCCCAGTGCCGTTCTGGGCATTGACTGTTGTACCTGTATTTTCTTTTCACTGTGATTTGCTTTGCTTAATTGAATATTCAAGCTCTGGGGAGTTTCCCAAATCATAGCCTTCACATATTGCTAATGAATGAATGTGAATATTGATGAGGAGGGGCATGTGCCTTTGTGTATATGCCTGTGCCCTTTCTCTGAGTACACAGAGAGGAAGGCATCTCAAAAAATATGCAGAAGGCAAAGTTTAGGTTATTTATGCTGTGTCACACCACCGCTATAATACCAAGGCAATCAATTTACTGTATAATTGCAGGCATATGTTAAGGTTCTTTTACTTTCTCTATGTGGTCATCCTGGCCACTATGTCATAGCAACAATAACAAAAAAAGGCAGTCATTTGTTTTTTGCCCGTTTCTATTTGTCTTTGTGTTAATAGCAGCAGTTTTTAAACATCATGAAATAACATTTTGGAAACAAATTAATTCACAGCATGTATATTTTTAATAAGCCCATTTAAGCTTTCTCATGGTTTTATTCCTCACCATGGGAGGCTAGATATTCTGAGCATACTCATTTTAAAATTTGACAATCAAATTTCATATTCTCAAATTTAAAAAAATGAATCATTTTATGGGGTTATGGATTTTAACACCTTTAAGTGTCCAGATAATTTTTTAAAAACTGCTTATTGAAATTTTGCTTAAAACTGGACTTATATTTTTTAATCTTCTCTAAAATTTAATGACGTTGATAAGAAAAGCTGAAAATGAAGATTTAAATCATTATTTTATTATATTCTAGACATCATTTTCAGAAGGGAATGTTATTCTCATGATAGAGACTTTTTTTTTCTTTGACTTTGCATCTCTCCCCTCCTAGGATCCTGCATCTAAGAGGCACTCAATATATATTTATCAAGTGAATGAATTAATGAATTTAAGTCCTTCTGCTGCTATTCAAATACGGTTAACATTTGCTTCCTCCAAATCAATAATAACTTTTGTACGCAGTAAACATTACGGACAGAAACAAGTAGATGAATGGCATAATCACATACAATAGGGAGGATTAAGTTCCTAAAATAATATAAGGCTGTTTTAACCTAAACCTCCATAATATTTTGTGTAATTGAGATTTGCCATTGTAAGAACTCAGTTGGAGTAGCAAAGGTCTATGAGGATTAGGAAGGGCTAGGAAAGTGGTCCACAGCTGATGTACCCGTTCTTTTAAACAGGATTATCTCCTGAGATGTGTAGAAATGAACTCTTGTCAGAGTTTCAAAGGAATTAATATTTTTTTGGTAAAATGTGCTAATGTAAAGAGTTAGAAGATTAGTGGTGCATAATGAAAGCAATGCATTCTTTCGCATGGAAATGGGAATGTAATAAATGTCCCGCAAGTGATTGGGGCTGTAGCAATTTTATTGAAGATTAAAGTTTGATTGACCTTTGTTAGGGTGATTAACCCTTCTGAAATTAAAAGCCGGAGCTGAATTATTCTGGCCAATTTAAATGCAAACATCGAGCAGGTCATATGTCATTCAAATAATAATAATAAAAAACCCTCCTATTTTAATTTTCATTTTTGCATGTTTGAATGGGATGCTGCTTTGGAAGGATCACAGCTCTAGCAAGAGCATTTTAGTGGCAGAGAATATAAAATAACGTATAGATAATTGGGAGCACATGGGAAGGGTCCCAAGCATCCCTCGCCCCATTCAAAACATCAAAACCACTACCCTGGCAAACACGGGGACCCTGAAGGCAATCTCCATATACTGCAAATGCATGATCTCAATAGAAAACAATCTAGGAACATCCTGGAAAAGGTTAAGAATAAATAACATTCTAATCCAATACCAACCACCAAAGCTGCATATCATATTCATGTTTAATCTATATACTGTCCTCTGAAAATGGGTGGGTGGGGGGAATGTTTGGTATGATTGCTTATGAAGCTATTCTCAAATGTTGATTATTTCTGATGTCTGGAATTTCATTCCTCGTGATCTCTGATAGTCTATGGATATATTCAGTATTTCCATTAAGTTAAAAAATGTCACAGGAAGAGCAAACTCTAGTTATTTACAAAGCCATTTAATGGTTTGGTTTTATTTTGCTTCATTAAATTTTCTTGAAGCCTTTGAAAAGTTGCATATTCACATCACTTCAAAAAATGGTTTCCATTTTTCATATCATATTAATTTTTTTATTACTAAGTCAGTGAATATTTTTAGATTTAGGTCCCACCACATAGTGAACATATCTTCCTTTTATGTGTCTGTGGACTATTAAAATGGTAATAAAGGTCCTCTTCATTCCATGTGTAATTTATTTCTCTCTCTTTTCATCAAAGAATTCACTCCAAATCTGTCAAGGTAGAAAAGTTCAAGGTATTATAGTGTAAAAATTAAGAAGCCTGAGGTCCTATAGTTTATTTTTATACAGCTTTTCATGTACTCTTTTAACATCCTTCTAAAAGATAGATTTTTACTCCAGGCCTATGAAGAAAGTCAAAGATGAAAAACTTGTGATAGAATGACAGATTATTCAGCTAGTAAAGTGACTGTGGCATCCTCCAGAGAGCTGGATAATACCTTGCAGCACTGATTAATAATATGTTTAACTAAGATCTGTTTGCTATAAAGATAATTTTCTAATTCTTAATCATGAGGCTAGTATTTAACCGCAAATTATAAACAAATATGTTGTTCTGTACCTTGCCTGATAAAGTATAGATTATCAGCCTTAGCTTTGATACATTGAATGTCAAACTTTAAAAAAACCTAGTTGTTCCACAATACTACTTGTTTTCTTATTAAAGATAATTTTCACTAAAAAAATAAACACTCTGGCTAAATTAAATCCCTAAAATAAGCACCATTAATTCTTCGGATATAATTCAATAATCTCCTCTAATTTGGTTTTTCTCATTTACCTCTTACCAGAAATAAATAAAAATCACTTTTGGCATTAAAAGTTATTGTAAATACATTCCGAGCACAGAAAGCTAATGTGCCAAACTACTGATACTATCTTTCTCTGTATTGCCATTAATTATCAGCAATCTTTTTCATAATAGAAAATCTTGGCTCGAGAAAAGGAAATTCATATTGTCTCAGTATTGAAAAAAGAATTGGTGAAAGAACAAAGGCAAATAAGATTATATTTTGTTAAATCCTAAATCCAATCATTTGTTTTGCTTCAGTGTTAGAAGGCATTTTTATTTCTTTGCTGCCTTTGTTTCTGACAATCTGTCCCCTCTAATCCATTCAGTCCCACACTGACAGTTTTCTCTTTTAGTTGTAAAATAACCTTCTTTGCCATTAACAGGCCAAAATTAATCTGTTTGATATTTTTATGGACCACATGTTTTAGTTGGAGTTCTGTTTAAAAAGCAGGCTGCGTAAAAAGTGACCAATGGCGTCATTTTATTCATTGCATATTGTTTGTGAGTCAACAATTGAATTTAATTCCACAAAAACTTCGAGTAGGCCTACCTACTCTAACAGAGCAATTTTATTGTCCTGGGCTAAAGAGAGATAATAGCTGGCAAATTCAAAGATTTTCAGGGTTTTAAAAATCATTTGTAGTCAAAAAGTAGTCTCCTATGAACTTTTTAAGATGTTACTCTCTTTAATAGACAATAATGCTAGAATAAAATTGGTTAATATTGGTCAAATGAATTATTTCTTATAATTTGTTTGACAAAATAATAAAAATACTTTAGAGATAGTAAATGCTCTGATGTTACCTTTTCAGCTAATTGCGAAGATTAGTTCCCCAGCATTAGTTTTCATGTGCATTGGAAGCTTACCTAATGTAGTGTAGTGGTGTGTGGCCTATTCATGCATCTCATGCTATCCGTATTAAAATTATTGCATCACTTCTACACATTACTTTGGAATCTGGAGAACTGCTTCATAAGATAACTTTGACTAAAATGGCTTTAGCATTAGAATTTCTAGAGCCATCACTGACTGACCTTTGTTCAGTTTCAACAAGTATTTTTTGAGTACCTGCTATTATTCCAGGCACTCCCCGCAACCCAGAGCGGTGGTTCAATGAGCCACGTTTTATGGACCAAAAACTGAGACTCAGGGTATAGAGTGAGTTGCCAGAAGTCAGACAGCTAGTCAGTCAGTGGCACGGCCTTGATTAGAAGCTGGTGCTATATTACAGGACCTTCTTCACCAGAGCAATTATTGCGACATCCATAGCATGTCACTTTGCTCAGACTTGGTGACTATGAGCACAGAATTTTTAGACAAATTAAAACACTTTCTCTAGACAAAGCAATTAACTAAAATGCAGGAACTAAAATGAAAGAATTCTCTCCTGATTGACTTCAGAGGAAGTAAGAAAAGTGGTTTAAAAAGCCAAAGATTATTCACTGGCCCATCCATCTAGTGAACTTTATTTAGTTGGCTCATTTTATGGAG